GAAGAAGGAAGAAGGAGAAAGAGAGAAAAGAAAAAGAGAAGGGGAAAGAAGGAAAGAAAGATGGGGGAAGAAAGGAAGGAAGAGAGAGGAAGGGGAGGAAGAAAGGAGAGAGAAAAGGAAAGAAGAAAGGAAAGAAAGAGAGAAGAAAGAAGGAAGGAAGGGAGATGGAAAGAGGGAAGAAAGGGGTGAAGGAAGGAGGAGAGAAGGAAGGAAGAGAAGGAAGGAAGGAAGGAGAGAAAAAATGAAGGAAGGAAAGAAAGAGAAGGAATTATCGAAGGAAGGGAGATGGAAAGAGGGAAGAAAGGGGTGAAGGAAGGAGGAGAGAAGAAAAGAAGGAAGGAGAGAAGGAAGGAAGGAAGGGGAGAAGGAGAGAAAAAATGAAGGAAGGGGGAAAGGAAAGAAAGGATGGGGGAAGGAAAGAAGGAAGAAAGTAGGGAAGGAAGGAGAGAAGGAAGGAAGGAAGGGGAGAAGGAGAGAAAAAATGAAGGAAGGGGGAAAGGAAAGAAAGGATGGGTATTCACCAAACCGCACTGATCCTTTTGCTCACAGTTTGGGTAATTTATGTTATGTGTAAACAAAAGTAGTTCTGGAATGTTAAATAGTATTTTAAATTATGCATATTTTAAATCAAATTGAATACCAAGATGGAAAGGGAAAGAAAGGGAAAAGGGAAAAAAGGAAAAGGGAGAAGGAATTATGGAAGGAAGGGAGATGGAAAGGGAAGAAAGGGAAAAGGGAAAGAAGAAAGGAAAGAAAGGGAGAAGGAATTATGGAAGGAAGGGAGATGGAAAGAGGGAAGAAAGGAGAGAATTAAAAGAAAGGGGGGAGTAGAAGTAGCCCAATAAAAAAACCCCAAGAAGAAGGGAGGGAGGGAATAATGAAAGGGAGAGTCTTCTTTGGATCCATTTGGACCTACTCAAGCAGCGGGATGGCTCCTTGGAGGCGTTGGGTTGAGGGAGAAGGGCTGACCTGATGATGCACAGCCCCAACCCGACCAGAGCACTAGGATCCCGCTCTTCCTCTCTTCTTTCCCCTGTCCCTCTTTGGTGCCAGCTGTGAGCCTCCCTCTCTTGGCAGCCCTTTTCCCCTCCAGCCCAGCTGCCCTTTAGAGCGGGCCGGGCAGCCTTGCCAACTGGGGGCCCTCAGAGGCCTGGGCCTGCCTGCCTTGCCTTCCTCCCCATTCTTCTCCAAGCCAAGGGGGCAGCCAGAGAGACAGGAGAGAGACAGCTCTTTCCCGCTGACCGGGCAAGCCCTGGCATTAAGGGCAGGGAGGCACCGAGCCCGGCTGGCCTCTCTGCCCGACCTTTGCCTCCGAGGGGCCCCGAGAGGAGAGGCGCCGACCTGCCGGGCAACTTGGCTGGCCTCAGCCACACCGAGGCACTTGCAAACCGCCATGGGCACCCGCAGGTGATTCCCTAGGAAATCCCAAAGGCACAACACTGGGCACTAATACTCATTAAGGGCTATCTTTCCTGGGGGTTTGATCCGCATCAAATGCTACGTAAAGATGGGTCCCTACTCTCTTTGGTGGCTCTCCTTTGCGGAGGTCAAGGGAGCACTCCATCTCTTCTCTCCTATTTGCGGGATGAGTCCTTTTTAAAGAGCAACGTTAAGACTCCAATGCGCAACTATGTCTTCTCCTGATCCGTTTCATCCCCCAGTTCTCTTTTTCAGGAGAAGGCTTAGTTAGGAAAATCTTCCAAAGTTGGGAGAAAGTGCAAGCGCTCTTCCCTCATGGAAGAGAATACAATCACTTTGTCATTGTACTGAGGAATGGGTCAAAAAGTAAAGCCTCCTCCAAAAAGGAATGCAAGTCTTCCAAAGTTGAGAGAAAGTGTTCTTCCCTCATGAAAGAGAACAGAATCACTTGATTGTTATTGTACTGTAGGTTGGTCAAAAAGGAATGCAAGTCTTCCGAAGTTGGGAGAAAGTGCAACTGCTCTTCCCTCATGGAAGAGAATATAATCACTTTATTGTCATTATACTGGGGGTGGGTCAATAAGTAATGCCTCCACCAAAAAAGAATGCAAGTCTTCCAAAGTTGGGAGAAAGTACAACTGCTCTTTCCTCATGGAAGAGAATACAATCACTTTACTGTCATTGTACTATGGGGGGGGGGGGTCAAAAAGTAATGCCTCCACCAAAAAGTAAAGCAAGTATTCCAAAGTTGGGAGAAAGTCAGTCAGTTAGTCACTAGCCTTTATTTCGGTCAAAAAACCTTCGGCTAAGTCAAGTGAAAATAAAATAATGAAATACAACATTTGAGTAATTAATAACATCACATTTAAAGTTGGGAGAAAGTGCAAGTGGTCTTCCCTCATAGAAGAGAATACAATCACTTTGTCATTGTACTGGGGTTTGGTCAAAAAGTAAGCTTCCATCAAAGAGTAATGCAAGTCTTCCAAAGTTGGGAGAAAGTGCAAGTGCTCTTCCCTCATGGAAGAGAATAGAATCACTTTATTGTCATTGTACTGGGATGGGTCAAAAAGTAATGCTACCATCTTCAAGTCTTCCAAAGTTGAGAGAAATTGCAAGCGCTCTTCCCTCAAGGAAAAGAATACAAAAACGTTATTGTCATTGTACTGGGGGTGGGTCAAAAAGTAATGCCTCCATCAAAAAGTAATGCAAGTCTTCCAAGGTTGCGAGAAAGTGTAAGTGCTCTTCCTTCATGGAAGAGAATAGATTCACTTTATTGTTATTGTACTGGGAGTTGGTCAAAAAGGAATGCAAGTCTTCCAAAGTTGGGAGAAAGTGCAAGTGCTCTTCCCTCTGGAAGAGAATAGATTCACTTTATTGACATTGTACTGGGGGTGGGTAAAAAAGGAATGTCTCCATCAACAAGGAATCCAAATCTTCCAAAGTTGGGAGAAAGTGCAAGTGCTCTTTCCTCATGGAAGAGAATACAATCACTTTGTCATTGTACTGGGGGTGGATCAAAAAGGAATGCCTCCATCAAAAAGGAATGCTGGTCTTCCAAAGTTGGGAAAACGTTTAAGCACCCTTCCCTCATGGAAGAGACTACAATCACTTTATTGTCATTGTACTGGGAGTGGTCAAAAAGGAATGCCTCCATCAAAAAGGAATGCAAGTCTTCAAAAGTTGGGAGAAAGTGCTCTTTCTTCATGGAAGAGAATACAATCACTTTATTGTTTTTGTACTAGAGGTGGGTCAAAAAGGAGTGCCTCAATCTAAATGGAGTGCCTCAATCTAAAAGGAATGCAAGTCTTCCAAAGTTGGGAGAAAGTGCAAGTGCTCTTCCCTCATGGAAGAGAATACAATCACTTTATGGTCATTGTATTGGGGTGAGTCAAAAAGGAATGCCTCCACCAAAAAGGAATGCAAGTCTTCCAAAGTAGGGAGAAATTGTAAGTGCTCTTCCCTCACAGAATACAATAACGTTGTCATTGTACTGGGGAGTGGATCAAAATGGAATGCCTCCATCAAAAAGGAATGCAACTCTTCAAAAGTTGGGAGAAAGTGCAAGTGCTCTTTCCTCAGGGAAGAGAATAGGTTCATTTTATTGTCATTGTACTGGGGGGTGGTGGTGGTCAAAAAGGAATGCCTCCATCATTTTTCTTTCTTTCACAGCTAGTGGATTATATGCATGATATGGTAGAGGTAACCTTACTCTCCTAATAGAGTCTTTTCTCTCCCCCCCCCCCCCCCCCCAAATTGGATTATTAGAACCAGGAATCTGAAGCTAAAAGAAAGAATTGTCATGAAATGTCTGGCAAAAGAAAGTTGTGTGCCCCTAAGGGCACACTTATGATTTGGCCCCTTCTGACTTTGACCTGGAATGTGTCCAGAAGAGGGCGACTAAAATGATCAAGGGTCTGGAGAACAAGCCCTATGAGGAGCAGCTTAAGGAGCTGGGCACGTTTAGCCTGAAGAAGAGAAGGCTGAGAGGAGATATGATAGCCATGTATAAATATGTGAGAGGAAGCCACAGGGAGGAGGGAGCAAGCTTGTTTTCTGCTGCCCTCTCGACTAGGACGCGGAACAATGGCTTCCAACTACAAGAGAGGAGATTCCATCTGAACATGAGGAAGAACTTCCTGACTGTGAGAGCCGTTCAGCAGTGGAACTCTCTGCCCCGGAGCGTGGTAGAGGCTCCTTCTTTGGAAGCTTTTAAACAGAGGCTGGATGGCCATCTGTCAGGGGTGTTTTGAATGCAATATTCCTGCTTCTTGGCAGGGGGTTGGACTGGATGGCCCATGAGGTCTCTTCCAACTCTTTGATTCTATGATTCTATGACCAGTTTGGACCTCTGGAAGACAACCTAAGGTGGTTTCAGATTCAGTGACTTGAATGAATCTGCCATTGTTAAAACAGCTTTAAAATCAGGGGTCAGGAAGCAAAACCCTGACATTTTTCCAAAATGGTTTTGATGCCTGGGTGCAAATGTGTACAAATTGATGGTGACTATGTTGAAGGGTAGTTTTGAGTAGAGGGCAACTTCTGTAGCCACTTCTGCAGTTATAGGTTCATTCATCACGTCTTGATGGCCCAGGAGGCAAAATTTTTTGACCCACCCGACATAGAAATGGCATGCTTTGCCCAGCACACCTCACAAAAAGAGCACACCTCTTCCTCCACACTCCAACCACTCCTTGTGTTCAATAGGTCTCCAGGTGTTCCCCAGAGTCATTGCTTTGGCTTTAAAAGGGAGAGGGGCGGGAGTAGAGGAAGGAGGCGCCTCTCTGATTGGCTACCTGGGTGAGAATGCCTTCCCTGATCTCTCACTCTCCCCCTCCCTCCTCCTCCTCCTCCCTGGCGCGCGACTTTGCACGCGGACCCTCGCGGGCGCCAATGACAGCCATCCCTGCCTCCCGGGGCTTGCAAGAGGCAGCGCAGACGTCACCGCCTCCCCCCCTCCCCCCAAAGGTGGTGGCTCGCCCCAATATCTATATAAGCCCGGCCCCAAGAAGGAGAAGAGTTTAACCGGGGGTCGGCGGAGGGTGGGAGGGGACAGAGGGAAAGGGAGGAAGGGGGGCAGAGAGAGAGAGAAGAGGAGAGAGAAGAAGAGGGCGCACGGCGGAGGATCCTGGCTCTCCACATGGGTAGGGAAGGGAAGGAAGGCTTCGTTTGACAGCTGGATCCAGAGGAAAGGAAGGAAGGAAGGAAGGAAGGAAGGAAGGAAGGAAGGAAGGAAGGAAGGAAGGAAGGAAGGAGGAAGGGGAGAGGAGAGAAAAAGAGAGGAAGGACGGGGAGAAGGAAAGGAAGAAGGAAGGAAGAAGGGAAGAAAGGTGAGAAGGAAAGGATTTGGGGGAGAAAAGGAAGGAAGGTAGAAGATGAGGGAAGGAAAGGAGGGAGGAGGAAAGAAGGAAGGAAAGTGAGAAGGAAAGGATTTGGGAGGAGAGAAGAAAGGAGGGAGGGAAGGAAGGAAGGGGAGAAGGACAGAGAGAAAGAAGAAGAGGGAAGGAAAGAAGGGAGAAGGAAGGAGGGAAGAAAGGTGAGAAGCAAAGGATTTGGGAAGAGAAAAGAAAGGAGGGAGGGAGGGAAGGAAGGAAGGAAGGTAGAAGATGAGGGAAGGAAAGGAGAGAAGAGGAAAGAAGGAAGGAAAGTGAGAAGGAAAGGATTTGGGAGGAGAGAAGAAAGGAGGGAGGGAAGGAAGGAAGGGGAGAAGGACAGAGAGAAAGAAGAAGAGGGAAGGAAAGAAGGGAGAAGGAAGGAGGGAAGAAAGGTGAGAAGCAAAGGATTTGGGAATGGGTGGGTTGTTAATTGTAGGCCAGCTTAGTCGCTGTTTTAGTGGGGAAGGAAGGAAGGGGCAGGGGAAGGAAGGCAGGAAGGAAGGAGGAAGGAAGGAAGGAAGGCAGGAAGGCAGGAAGGAAGGAAGGAAGGAAGGCAGGCAGGTAGGAAGGCAGGAAGGAAGGAAGGAAGGAAGGAAGGAAGGAAGGAAGGAGGGGAAGGAAGGAAGGAAGGAAGGAGGAAGGAAGAAGGGAGATGGAAAGGGGAGGAGAGAAGGAAAGAAGAAAGGAAGGAAGAAAAGGAGAGGAATGGAGAAAGCAAGGAGGGAAGGAAGGAAAGGAAGGAAGGAAGGAGAGAAGGAAACAAAGGAGGGAGGAAGGGAAAAAAGGAAAAGTATGAAATGAGAGAAGGAAGCTGAAAGAAGGAGGAAAGAGGGAAGAAAGGGGAGAAGGAAAGAAGAAAGGATAAAGAGAAAGGAAAGAGGAGGGAGAAGGAAAGAAAGGATGGGGAGAAGGAAAGAAGGAAGAAAGTAGGGAAGGAAGGAGAGAAGGAAGGATAGAAGGAAGGGAGATGGAAAGAGGGAAGAAAGGGAAAAGGGAAAGAAGAAAGGAAGGAGAGAAGGAAGGAAGGCAAGAGAGAAGGAGGAATGGAAGGAAGGGAGATGGAAAGAGGGAAGAAAGGAGAGAAGGAAAGAAAGAAAAAGGAAAGAGAGAAGTAAGGAAGGAAGAGGAAAAGGAAAGAAGGAAAGAAGGAAGGAGAAAAGGAAGGATGGTAGGAAGGGAGATGGAAAGAGGGAAGAAAGGAGAGAAGGAAAAAGAAAAAGGAAAGAGAAGAGGGAGAGAAGGAAGGGAAGACAGAAAGAGGGAAGGAGAGAAGGACGGAGAAAAGGAAAGAAGGGAGAAAAAAGGAAGGAAGGAAAGAAGGGAGATGGAAAGAGGGAAGAACGGAGAGAAGAGAGGAAGGAGAGAAGGAAAGGAAGGAAAGAGGGAAGAAAAGAGAGGAGAAAAGAAGAAAGGAAGGGGAGAAGGAAAGAAGAAAGAAAGTTAGCCTAGAGAGAAGGAAGGAAGGAGCGAGGAAGGAATGGAAGGATGAGAAAAGGAGGGATAGAAGGAAAAAGGAAGGGAAGGAAGGGAAAGAGGGAGGGAGGAAAGGGAAGAAGGCAGGAAGGGAAGACAGGGAAAGGTGAAAGGAGAGCAAGGGCATCCTCTTCAGCCTCCTTTCGCAGGCAGGGTGTTATGAGGGAGGAACAGCTCCTCCTTCCTCCCTGACTCTCTTTCCCTTTCCTTCTTTCCTTCCCTGTCTCCTCTGCACAGCTGGGCGCTGAACCCATCTCCGGGCGACCCCGAGGAAGATCCGAGGGAGAAGATGCTGCCCCCTCCTCCGCCTCCTCCTCCTCCTCCTCCCCCGCCGCCCCCAGCTGCGTTGCCGCCCGAGGGTCCGGGCGCGCGGTCTTGGCTGGAGGCGGCGGTGGGCGCCGCGCTGGCCGTGGCCCTGCTGCTGGCCCTGGCCCGTCCCCTGTGGGCCCTGCGCTGGAGCCTCAGCCGGGACCGCGCCTGCGCCCTGCCCCTGCCCCGCGGATCCATGGGCTGGCCCTTCTTCGGGGAGACCCTCCACTGGCTGGTCCGGGAGGGGGGGGGGGGGGGGGGGGGGGAGAGAAAAAGGGAAACGCGTCCGCGCATGCTCAGAGCTAGCCCTGACAGCCAGGTTGACAGAGTTGAAAGGACTTCTCATTGAGGAGGGGGCAAGCTTGCTTTCTGCAATGAAGTCAAGGTCCAGGGAAAGAGATTTCAGCCAAACACAGACAGTGGGATAGGCTGCCTCCTGCTAGATCACCCACCAAAGCATTCCCAACAGATGGCCTCCCAGTCTCTGTTCAAAAACCTCCAGAGAAGGAGACTCCACCACACTCCCAGGCTGGATCTACACTGCCCTTTATCCCAGGATCTGATTAACTACTTTGAACTGGATTATATGAGTCTACACTGCCAGATAATCTGGGATAGGATCATGGGATAAATGGCAGTATAGATTCAGCCTGAGAGTGTGATGGAGTATCCTTCTCTGGAGGTTTTTAAACAGAGACTGGATGGCCATCTGTTGGGAATGCTTTGGTTGTGACTTCCTGAGTGGCTGAATGGCTCTCCTGGTAGGTAATAATCTGGATCATATGGCATTGTAGAAGGGACCTTAGGTTGGATGTACACTTTGATATAAAATCCAGATTACCTGCTGTATAAAAGCCACATTGAACTGGATTAAATGGCCATGTGGACTCAAATAATCAATTTCAAAGTGGATTATCTGCCTTGATGTTCCGGGTTATTTGGCTGTGTGGAAGAGCCCTAAAACTGGATCTACGCTGCGAAATAAAATCCAGATTATCTGCATTGAACTGGATTATATGGCAATGTAGACTCAGTTCAAAGCAGATAATGTGGATTATCTGCTTTGATCATCTGGATTATATGGCATTGTAGAAGGGGCCTTAAGTTGGATGCACACTTTGATATAAAATCCAGATTACCTGCTGTATAAAGGCCACATCCATTTCAAAGTGGATTATCTGCCTTGATGTTCTGGGTTATTTGGCTGTGTGGAAGAGCCCTAAAACTGGATCTACGCTGCGAAATAAAATCCAAATTATCTACATTGGATTGGATTAAATGGCAGGATAGACTCAGATAATCCAGTTCAAAACAGATAATGTGGATTATCTCCTTTGATCATCTGGATTATATGGCATTGTAGAAGGGGCCTTAGGTTGGATGCACACTTCGATATAAAATCCAGATTACCTGCCTTGAGCTGGATTATATGGCAGGATAGACTCAGATAATCCAGTTCAAAGCAGTTGTTTTTTTGTTTTTTTTGGTCGTGCCAGGAGCGACCTGAGAAACTGCAAATCGCTTCTGGTGTGAGGGAATTGGCCATCTGCAAGGACGTTGCCCAAGGGATGCCCGGATGATTTGTGGATTATCTGCTTTGATCATCTGGATTATGTGGCATTGTAGAAGGGGCCTTAGGTTGGATCTACGCTGCAATATAAAATCCAGATTACCTGCTTTGAACTGGATTATATGGCAGGATAGACTCATCCCTAATGATGTCAAATTACATTATTTCTACAATAGAGATGCACCCAAAGTGTATTTGAGAGCCCTTCTTAGGATGTATCTCCACTGTTGAGTTAATGCAGTTTGGCACCACTGTTAACCAAAAGGTCTCAGGTTCGAATCCGGGGAGCTGCATGAGCTTCTGCTGTTAGCCCCAGCTTCTGCCAGCCTAGCAGTTCGAAAGCATGTAAATGTGAGTAGATCAATAGGTACTGCTCCGGCGAGTAGATAACGATGCTCCATGCAGCCATGCTGGCCACATGACCTTAGAGGTGTCTATGGACAACACCAGCTCTTCGGCTTAGAAATGGAGATGAGGACCACACCCCAGAGTCGGACACGACTGGACTTACCTTACCTTTACCACCACTTTACCTGCTAATACTATGGAATGCTACGGAATCATAGGAGTTGTACTTAGACATGAGCATTAGCTTTCTCTACCAAAGAGTGTTGGTTCCTCCCCAAGCTACACCTCCCAGAATCACATAGCATTGAACCCTGGCCGTTAAAGTGGTATCAAACTACATTGAAAAAGACACGGAACTAAAGTGTTTGTTCATTTCATTTCTAGCTTGCCCTTTCTCCAATAAGTGGAAGGCAGTGCGCATCCACCCAGTCCTTTCCATTTTAGCCTCACAAGCATCTTGTGAGGTAGGTCTGGCTGAGGGTATATCTTCCCTATAGGATGGATGTAGTGTGACACCACTTTCACTGGCAGGGCTCATTGCTGCAGAATACTTGGCCTTCTCTGCCAAAGAGTACCAAACAATACCCCCATGATTTCATAGGACAGTGTTTCTCAACCTGGGGGTCGGGACCCCTGGGTGTCACCGAGGGATCGCCAAAGACCACCAGAAAACACAGTATTTTCTGTTGTTCATGGGGGTTCTGTGTGGGAAGTTTAGCCCACTTCTCTTAGTGGTGGGGTTCAGAATGCTCTTTGTAGGTGAACTATAAATCCCAGCAACTACAACTCCCAAATGTCAATGTCTATTTTCCCCAAACCCCACCAGTGTTCATATTTGGGCATATTGAATATGCATGCCAAGTTTGGTCCAGATCCATCATAGTTTGAGTCTCTGGATGTAGGTGAACGACAACTCCCAAACTCAAGGTCAATGCTCACCAAACCCTTCCAGTATTTTCTGATGGTCTTTGGAGTTCTGTGTGCCAAGTTTGGTTCAATTCCATCGTTGGAGGAGTTCAGAATGCTCTTTCATTGTAGGTAAACTATAAAATCCCAGCAACTTCAACACCCAAATGTCAAGGTCTATTTTCCCCAAACCTCACCAGTGTTCATATTTGGGCATATTAAATATTCATGCCAAGTTTGGTCCAGATTCATCATAGTTTGAGTCCACAGTGCTCCCTGGATGTAGGTGAACTACAACTCCCAAACTCAAGGTCAATGCCCACCGAACCCTTCCACTATTTTCTGATGGTCTTTGGAGTTCTGTGTGCCAAGTTTGGTTCAATTCCATCGTTGGTGGAGTTCAGAATGTTCTTTGATTTTAGGTGAATTATAAATCACAGCAACTACAACTCCCAAATGACAAAATCATCCCCCCCCCCCATCCCACCAGTATTCAAATTTGGGCATATGGGGTATTTGTGCCAAATTTGGTCCAGTGAATGAAAATACATCCGTCATATCAGATATTTACAGTACGATTCATAACAGTAGCAAAATGACAGTGAGGAAGTAGCAACGGAAACAATGTTATGGTTGGGGGTCACCACAACATGAGGAACTGTATTAAGAGGTTGCGGCATTAGGAAAGTTGAGAAACACTGCCATAGGATTTGAGCCATGGCAGTGAAAGTGGCACCATACTGTATTCATGTTACATTAATATGACCCCTAGATTTCCTGTTGGAAAGGCACTCTGGACTTACTCAGAGGCACCTTTGCTGCAGGTTGTATGAAGCCCTATGCTGGCGAATGGTGATGACTGCCATATCATCCAGTATCAGAATGCAGATGAACTGCATTGAAGTGGATGACAAGCAGTCCCCAAGTTACAAACAAGATAGGTTCTGTAACTTTGTTCTTAAGTTGAATTTGTATGTAAGTTGGAACAGGTACATATTTAAGTGTAACTTCAGCCATATATATATATATATACACTAGCCATCCCCTGCCACGCGTTGCTGTGGGGTATGCAACATATCATTGTCCTTCTTTAGGGGTCCCTTTCAAATCTAAGAGACTATATCTCTCTGTGTGTGAATCATATATACCTATATATATCTATGTCTGGATGGCTCTTTGTCAGGAGGGCTTTTATTATGTTTTCTTGCCCTGGTGAAGGGAGTTGGACTAGATGGCCTTAAGTATTTTCTGTTGGTCATGGGGATTCTGTGTGGGAAGTTTTCCCCAATTCTGTTATTGGTGGAGTTCAGAATGCTCTTTGATTGTAGGTGAACTATAAATCCCAGTAACTACAACTCCCAAATTTCAAGGTCTATTTTCCTCAAGCTCCATCTGTGTTCATTTTTGGGCATTTTGAATTCTTCTGGAACATGGCCATGCAGTCCGGAAAATTCACAGCAACCCAGGGATTCCAGCCATGAAAGCCTTCAACATCACAATGTATTGAAGTGGATTACACTATGTAACAAAATTTGGAAAAAAAAGATGTTCCTGGTTTGAAAGTGTTATTTCCCGTTTAATTATGTTGTGCTTTTTTTTTTTTATAAAAAAAAGTTGTTCTACTCCAGAAACTTTGTTTTTGTGGCTGTCACAAACTATGTTGAATTGGTTGCAACTCTATGAAATATTCATTGAAAAACTAGAGCAAAATGTGCTGCAGGATCATAGAATCATTGAATCAAAGAATCAAAGAATCAAAGAGTTGGAAGAGACCTCATGGGCCATCCAGCCAAGAAGCAGGAATATTGCATTCAAATCACCCCTGACAGATGGCCATCCAGCCTCTGTTTAAAAGCTTCCAAAGAAGGAGCCTCCACCACACTCCGGGGCAGATAGTTCCACTGCTGAACGACTCTCACAGTCAGGAAGTTCTTCCTCATGTTCAGAAGGAATCTCCTCTCTTGTAGTTTGAAGTCATTCTTCTGCGTCCTAGTCTCCAGGGAAGCAGAAAACAAGCTTGCTCCCTCCTCCCTGTGACTTCCTCTCACATATTTATACATGATTGGCTATCATATCTCCTCTCAGCCTTCTCTTCTTCAGGCTAAACATGCCCAGCTCCTTAAGCCGCTCCTCATAGGGCTTGTTCTCCAGACCCTTGATCATTTTAGTCTCGCTCCTCTGGATACATTCCAGCTTGTCAATATCTCTCTTGAATTGTGGTGCCCAGAATTGGACACAATATTCCAGGTGTGGTCTAACCAAAGCGGAATAGAGGGGTAGCATTACTTCCCTAGATCTAGACACTATATCATCCAATTTCATATTGCAGATGAACTGCATTGAAATCAATGACATGAGTCAGCACTGTAGATCCAGCCCTAGGTCCCACCCACTGCCGTATAAATTGGCTCTGAATTGGATTATATACAATCCAGATTATTTGATTTGAAATAGATCATATGACAGTGCTGACTCGTGTCATTGACTTCAATGCAGTTCATCTGCAATATGAAATCTACACTGCCATATCATCCAATTTCAGAATGCAGATGAAGTGCATTGAAGTCAATGACAAGTCAGCACTGTCATATGATCTAGTTTAAATCAAATAATCTGGATTGTATATAATCCAATTCAGAGCCAATTTATATGGCAGTGAATGGGACCTAAGGCTGGATCTACACTGCCATATCATCCAATTTCAGAATGCAGATGAACTGCATTGAAGTCAGTGACATGAGTCGGCGCTGTCATATGATCTAGTTTAAATCAAATAATCTGGATTGTATATAATCCAATTCAGAGCCAATTTATATGGCAGTGGATGGGGCCTATGGCTGGATCTGCACTGCCATATCATTCAATTTCAGAATGCAGATGCACTGCATTGAAGTCAATGACATGAGTTGACACTGTCATAATCTAGTTCAAATCAAATAATCTGGATTTTATATAATCCAATTCAGAGCAGATAATTTGGATTTTATATGTCTCTCTCCTACAGGGCTCGGCCTTCCACAGCTCCCGGAGGCAGAAGTATGGCTCAGTGTTCAAGACGCACCTGCTGGGGAAGCCGGTCATCCGGGTCAGCGGGGCGGAGAATGTGCGCAAGATCCTGCTAGGAGAACACAGCCTGGTCAGCGCCCAGTGGCCACTCAGCACCCGCATCCTGCTGGGCTCCCATACCCTCCTCAGTGCCCGTGCAGATGCCCACCGGCAACGCAGGAAGGTCAGAAGGCTGGGCCTCTGTCTGTGTGTGTCTTTTGTGTCTGCTGCCTAAGAGAAGAGAGGCCTCCAGGACTCCCTGTCCAGGGTAACCACACTGGCCCCCTCCCTGCTCTCCTTCTACAGGCTTTTCAAGAAGAAAGCTCTCAAGGGCCAGCTAATTTCACTGTGGCTCCCGACCCCCCTTTTTTGGAAAAATGATACCATAACCTTTTGGGAAACAGAAATCTCTATAACCTTTTGGAAAATGGCATTCACTACCAGTTGGGAAAATCAGGAATCTCTCTGAGAAGTTAAAAACTCACTTGAGTCGGCCTTCTCCTTAGTGGTAAATATCCATTACTATTTATGCAAGGCAATTAGGTTTCTCAGCTGTTAGACTGATATACCTAGATATCTCTTTGAACTGTTAGGGACAAAAGTATGCCAATGCATAAAAAACACACATATATAGCAGAGTTTCAGAATTGTTCTTTCAGTTGCCCCAAAACATCTACTCTCCCTTAAAACATCTTGGTTTAAATCATGCTCTCAAGAGGCAAAATAAGTAGACTTCTTTAAAAAGTAACATAGTTAGTTTACTCACAAACTTCATGTATTCAGCTTACAGGTACATTGCTTATTAGTCCAGTTACAGATAGGATTTGAAGTAGTTTCTCTGTGTAGCTAACACAGGGCATCTTTCTCATAATCAATACTTAGGCGATCCCTCGTTGTCCGAGCAGGATTGTCTTCCAAGATAAGGGTACTGGTGGTGGGTCCGTAGGTGACTGTGGAGCCCTATTCTTGATCTGCATGTTCTCCTGCAGTGAGGGCATTGGTTTCCAGGTGGAAGGCGACCCTCTGTCCTGACTCTCTCCTTCCTTTTCCACCACAGATCCTGTCCAGGGTCTTCAGCCGGGCTGCCTTGGAGACCTACCTGCCAGCCATCCAGAAGGTGGTGAGCCAGGAGCTACGTGGCTGGTGCCGGGAGAGGGGTCCAGTGGTGGTCTACTCCTCAGCCAAGGCTATGACCTTCCGGATTGCGGCCCGCATCCTTTTGGGCCTCCGTCTGGATGAGAAGCAGTTCAAGGAACTCTCCAGCACCTTTGAGCAGCTAGTGGAGAACCTCTTCTCTTTGCCCCTCAACGTCCCCTTCAGCGGCCTACGTAAGGTAGGGCTGCTGCCAGGTGCATTGTCCCATCCACACTAGCCATTGAATTAAGGCAGGATCTACATTGTCCTATATTTCAGGATCTGATCCCAGATTGGGATGTTGTGTAGTTTCCGGGCTGTATGGTCATGTTCTAGCAGCATTTTCTCCTAATGTTTTGCCTGCGTCTGTGGTTGGCATCTTTTGCCTGCATCTGTGGTTGGTAACTTCTAAAAATGCCAGCCATAGATGCAGGCAAAACATCAGGAGAAAATGCTGCTAGAACACAGACATACAGCCTGGAAACCACACAACACTCTAGTGATTCTGACTGTGAAAGCCTTCGACAGTACATTGATCTCACATTGTCTTCTTATCCCAGATTATCTGGCAGTGTAGACTTGTATAATCCAGTTCAAAGCAGATAATCTGGGATCAGATCCTGGAATGTATGGCAATGTGGATCCTGTTGCAGTTTCAAAGCAATATTGAAGAAAGTTGCTTTATTGTGTTGTTGACTTTATGGAAATCCTGGAACCAATTGGAGACCAAGGTGGGGATTACATATACCACAAAGCACTGATGTGCATTCAGTGCTTGTTTTCTCCTACTTTCATAGGTGTTCTTCATCTGGCTGCTGGGCAGTGGCTTCAGTGATTTAAGATCATTCTACACTGCCATATAAAATCTAGATTATCTGCTTTGAACTGGATTAAGTGGGAGTGTAGACTAATGTAATCCACTTCGAAGCAAATAATGTCAGTGCTTTGACTGTATTTTCCTGCATGGCAGGAGGTTGGGTTAATCACCCTTGATGGGGGTAGTGGTGTTCTCTTCCAGTTATATTATTCTATGTTGTGAGCTGCTTCTCGACTCAATCAAGAGATAAAAGCAGGATAAAAATAAATATAATGATGATGATACTATAATTCATTTAAGCCACAACAAGTCAGCCTTACTCTGTAGGTGACTGTGGAGCCCTATTCTTGATCTACATCTTCTCCCACAGTGAGGGCATTGGTTTCCAGGTGGAAGGTGGTCTCGGTCGGGGTTGGCTTGATGCGCCTTCCTCTTGGCACGTTTCTCTCTTTCGCCCTCCATTTATGCCTCTTCAAATTCTGCAGCACTGCTGGTCACAGCTGACCTCCAACTGGAACACTCAAGGGCCAGGGCTTCCCAGTTCTCAGTGTCTGTGCCAGAGTTTTTAAGGTTGGCTTTGAGCCCATCCTTAAAACTCTTTTCCTGTCCACCAACATTCCGTTTTCCATTCTTGAGTTCGGAGTAGAGCAACTGCTTTGGGAGACAGTGGTCGAGCATCCGGACATCATGGCCGGTCCAGTGGAGTTGATGGCGGAGGACCATCGCTTCAGTGCTGGTGGTCTTTGCTTCTTCCAGCATGCTGACATTTGTTTGCCTGTCTTCCCAAGAGATTTGCAGCATTTTCCGAAGGTAGCGCTGGGAGAAACTCATGAGTGACAGAGTAGTGGAGACAGGCTGGAAGCTACACTACAGAAAGGGCAAGTTAATCAAGGCAGCTCCCAAGGCACTAGTCCTACATGTTCTCTCTCTCTGGCCACTGATACTAGATTATCTGCTTATCCCAGATTATCTGACACTTCAAAGTAGTTACTCTGGGATCAGATCCTGGGATATAAGACAGTGTAGAAGGGGCCTCTCTCTCAGCTTTCCCTGAACGTCCCTGTCCATCTTCCCTGCAGGGAATAAAGGCCCGGGACCTTTTGCATAACTACATGGAGAAAGCGATCCTGGAGAAACTGCAGCGTAAGGATCCCGAAGCCCACAGCGATGCCCTTGACTTCATCATCCATGGTGCCAAGGAGAATGGGAAGGAATGTACTATGCAGGAGCTGAAGGTAAGAGAGACTAGAAAGGGGGAAAGCAGGTCTTCTACCCTCCCCTGCAAGAAACAGGGGATCCTGCCATTGCCAACATGTGAGGCTTAGGCCCCGTGCCTGTAAAGAAGGATAAAGGCATAGGTGTCTCTGGCCATGTGCAGAGGGCATTCCTTTATGTAATTATGGAATAGATTCTTAGGTTTTCCTTTTCTTTAAAGTTCTTTAAAGTGCATTTTGGAGGAGCCTGTGTGGTGTCATAGTTTTGAGTCCAAAGGGCCAGAGGTCAAATTCCCCCTAAGCCATGGAAACCCAGTTGGCAGGTCACACTCTCTCAGCTTCAAAGGAAAGCAATGGCAAACTCCTCTGAATACGTTTGGCCAAGACAATCCTTCTGCAGAATTGCCATATGTTGGAAACTTGAAAACACATGACAACCATGCGTTGTGGTGGAATAATAATAATAATAATAATCTTTATTTATTACATGCCACCCTCTCCCCAAAGGGGACTTGGGTCGGCTGACATGAGGCCAAGCCCAAAATAATACAACATAATTAGACACAAAATAGCAAAGAAATACATTATAACAAAATATATAAAATAACAAATAAAATAAAATAGGCAATATAAAATGGCATAGTAAAATCAAACACAATAGGTGGGCCAGATGTATGAGATAAAATGTTAAAGGCTAAAACCCTGGGTGAGATAGGAATGAAAAATACATTTATGAGAAAGGAGGAATAATTCTCTCTTGGATTCCCCATATATTAGATTTCTCAATAGTCTTCCTGTGGCATTGACTATATCCAGACTTTACTAGAATCAATCAGAAAATGGCTTATTTCTTAATTTAGGATGCTTTTCCTTTAAGGAGGGAATGTAACTTTTGGGCAAGCAAAGCTCTGTTCATTTTCGAGAAGAAAAACACAGCCACCTTCCTAGCCAAAGGTACTTGAATACTAATAGACGGGGGAAGTAATTTGCCTTCCTCTTGCATGTAGCTGCATGTAGACAACATTAATAGCAATTCACCTACTACCATTGAGTCTCACATTCATAAAGAGTTTCAGGGTCTCTGTGCTAGTGCTCTGATTTGTGGGCACATGAAACAGACTCCTGTGCTCATCCTGGGAATAATCCAATGTTGTCTGTTGAAATATTTGCAGCCGGCAAGTCTGCTGTTTGAAGATTTGCTCATATTTCTAAGTAGTAACTCCTTTGAAAAGCAGTGGTGTTTGAGCTAAACAAAGCTGATGGAAAACCCAACCCAGAGACTTCAGTAGGTTGACAGCTTTAAACATGATGAAAGTGAAAAGGTTCAAAGTAGGTCTGTTACACTATGTAACAAAATTTGAAAAAAATCTGTTCTTGATTTGAAAGTGTTATTTCCTGTTTCATTGTGAGAGACTTGCTTGGAAAGTAGTTGTTATATTCCAGAAACTTCGTTTTTGTGGCTGCCACAAACTCTGTTGAATTGGTTGAGTTTCTATTAGATATTCATTGAAGAACTAGAGCAAAATGTGCTGCAGGATGTCCCACAAAAAACAAAGTTTTGGCAGTTGAATAAACTTTTTCCAAGTTTTTATGATCAAATGAATTAAGAAATGACATTTATAACCCAGGAACAAAAATAATGTTACATAGTGTTATTCATTCTGTACTAAGTCTCTCCTCTACAAATCAGAATAAGGTACAGGCTGGATAAGTGAACTTTTATTTATATGCCACACTAAAAATAGGGTGGTGGGGGTGGAAGCAAGGCAGTTCAAAACTAGGCATAATCCCAACCACATTTGAGGAAATTGTCACTTGAAATTAATGTTACTCCTTGCAAGTTTTTATTTTTTTACTTTTACTCTTAGGCACAAAACACATCAATGAGAAACAATTTGAAAGCAAAGAATGAAATGGGTAATAATGCCATTGAGTCAACCACTGTTGCTTTGACACTTGAAATGTGTTGGAACAGTCAGAAGTAAACGTTTCCAGGGTCCAGATGATAAACAGAACCACATGGGCTGATTGATGGGTTTTCATATAATATATGCAGCTACCTAAACCAAGGAGTGGGAAAAAATGTTGAATATGAACATTTTTTGGGCTCCTTCAACACTGTCATATGATTCAAATTATAAAAGTAGATAAACTGTTGTGGTGCAGTGGGTTAAACTGCTGAGTTGCTGAACCTGCTGACTGGAAGATTGGTGATTTGAATCCATGGGATGGGGTGAGCTCCCACTGTTAGCCCCAGCTTCTGCCAACCTAGCAGTTTGACAACATGCAAATGTGAGTAGATATAGGTTAGGTACTGCTTCTGTGGGAAGGTAACAGCACTCTATATAATAATATTTATTTATTTATTTATTTATTTATTTATACCCCACTCCATCTCCCCCAGGGGGACTCGGGACAGCTTACATGAGGCCATGCCCATCAGTACAATAACACAATATTACAAAAACATAACAAAACCAGAAAATGAAATACATAAAATGCAAAAACCAATATAATTGACGACACAGCAATATAAAATCAAACATTAAAACACAAAGGAATTTCTATGCAGTCATGCCAACCAAATGACTTAGCAGGTGTCTACAGACATCACAGGCTCTTCAGCACAGAAGCACCCCGCCCCCCCGCCCCCCCCAGAACTGGAGATGAGCACCACTCCTCAGAGCCAGAAGGGAAAGCATTTACCTTTATTTATGTTTGGTTGTTTCTAAGCATTGAGCGTTGGCCTTTGTGTATGCTGGAATCCGCCCTGAGTCCCCTCAGGGAAATAGGGTGGAAAAATAAATGAAGTGTTATTATTTGATACATAATATTAATACACAGCAAACAAGATCCTTATGCTGGCTTTTGTATTTGATCACATGTCGGACACTTCCCATGTGTCTTGGACTGTGTGATGTATTGGTGAATAATGTGTGGAGATCCAAGTAGGGTGGCCTTTTATACCTGACAGGTGGTAATTTGTCAGCGGTGATTGTTTTAAAGTGCAGGCCAAGGTCTTTAGGCACTGCACCCAGTGTGCCGATCACCACTGGGACCACCTTGATTGGTTTGTGCCAGAGTCTTTGCAGTTTGATCTTTAAATTCTCATATTGTGTAAGCTTTTCTGTTGTTATTGTTGTTGTTGTTTTTGAATTGGATTATATGAGTCTACACTGCCATATAATCCACTTCAAAGCAGATAACCTGGATTTTACATTGTAGTGCACAAGGGGCCTTGGGGAATAAAATAATAGTGTTGTTTATGTGAATTGGCTATGTTGATAGTCTTTCTCAAACACGTGCTTTCCTCATGTGTCAGATTACAACTCCAGTCATCTCCAACCAGCATAGTCAGCATTATCTAAAGCAGGCCTGCACAACCTGTGACCCTTCAGGTGTTTTGGACTTCAGCTTCCAGAATGATTTCCATCGGACAAGCTGGCTATGGCTTCTGTGAGTTGGAGTCTGAAACACCTGCAAAGCCACGGGTCCCAGGTTGAGGAAGGCTGATATAAAGATATACAATACACTGCTTTGTGTATGACTTTACTATTTAAGTTTACTATAGAAAACTATTTTTCCTTTTACACCAAACCTGGAATTTTAAGGGAACTGTCCGTGGTGCTGAAACTCATCTCAAAACAGATTCACTGCCATGAAAGTCTCCTTTAAAGCTGTCAATACATGCTGGAATTGATTCCCCAGCCGCCAACCTCAGTCACCATTAGCTAAAGGTTACACTTCCTTTTTGTTTCCTCTTTCTCTGTATTTACGTAACTTAACACTCATTGGAATAGATAGAATATCTTTCTATCATTGGTGGCAGAATCTAAAGTTTGCCTGAAGGTGTATGCTTGATCTTATTATATTTCCTTACACGCTGTTAGATATTTTTGCTTTGAAGAGTTCTCTTTGCTTTGTTTGAGGATATCTTCATATGATGCTTAGAATAATTAACACTTACTTTGGCCTAAAATGTAGATATGTTGTTCTGTACCTTCCTGTTTTTGTGAGTATGGTAACCCTAAGGCAAATATATCATGAGCTTTCTTGGTAGGATTGTGGGAAGAAATGTGATTCTAATCTCTGCTTTAAAGATGTATTTTAAAATGTCAATCATCTTTGGGATAATTTGCTGCTTGTTTGTCTGCTGCCAGTATTTGAGAATTCTGTTTTGCTGCTCCTGCTTTTATCTTTTTTATTTATCTTTTATGTATTATTATTTTATTTATTTATTTTATTTGTTTATTTTATCTTTTATTTTTATTTTATTTTTATATCTTTTTAAAGTTTTTTATTTTTTGTCTTTACTCATTGTGTGAAGTGATTATATTTTAACACCTTAATGTTGTTTTTGTATGGTTTCATTGTGTTGTTTTATTGGGTGTTGTAAACTGTCTTGGAAGGGTAATTATAAAATTATTATTAAACGTGAATGAATGAATGTGTCTTAGCACCCAAATTGCTTGTGGCTATTGAAACATTCTGGGCTCTGCATGTGCTTTGGAAAATATACTCTTTTTAAATAAACTAGATGATGAGATTAGGAAGCCAATGTAATTACGCATGGAGTACATAGACTTTATGGCACCCCTTAATATCAAAGCAGGGCCTTCATGTTTTGTTGTTTTGGCCTGGCTCTTAAACTTGCTTGGAGAGAAACGTGTGCTATAGTAAAGGCAGCTCTCCTGGATTAAACATTGATATAAAATGAAAAGAAGTCATTCTATGGTAAAGTTTGATTGGAAAAATGCCTTGATTCATCTCAGTTTGACTCTGGGCTGACAACTATGGATCCAGCTGCTCTCGTTGTAGCATAGTTTCAAGGCAACGGTGTAGTAATGGGGAGATCGTGGACCATATTCTTGTACTTGTGGAACACTGGTGGTCCACAGACCACAGGTTGGGAACCACTACTTTTGGGTAGCAAGCCTACACATAAGAGAGCAGAAACCTTATATGAGCTGTTCTGTCACATGCTGGGCCTGTAATATCTGTACTTTTCTATAGGATGTATACTTTAAGCCCAGCGGGAAGCCAGGGGTGCCTCAAAGAGAGGTTCTCAGGGATTTTTCTGAAGTGATGGTCTTTAGAGTCTTTAATGATACAACAAAGTCTTTATTATAGAACAAACAACAAATCTTCAATGGTTCAAACAACACTTCAAAGCTTTCTTAGTCTAGTCCTCAATGGACTGGTAACTGACTTTAATTAACTGTACTTTCTCTGTAGGAAAAACCCTTTTTAACCTCTCCCAGGCTGTTTACTATCTATGCTTCCTCGGTGTGGGTCCTACTACCGATTCCAAATGCATCTGGGTATTGAGTAGACCTACCAGCTGAGGCTTGAAGATATTTCAGCTGGAATTCTGTGGATCTGTAGTGCTGTCCTCCCTCAGAGAATTCTTTGAAAACTTCAGTGCTGTTTTCCCTCTGATTGCTGTGAGGCTGAGAGGCTGTGAGCTCTCAGCCAGAGCCTTGGGACCTTTTCCCTGGAATTTCTGTTTCTGTTTCCCTGGATGTTCCTTTTCCCTGGATTCTCCTTTTCCCTGGATGCTTTTTTCCCTGGATAGTCTTTTCCCTGGATGCTCTTGAGAAAAAAAGCTTTTCTACGGGATGACCTGGTCTACGTCCTATAGTCTAGCTTCCTTGTGTGAGACTGACCAAAAAAATGGCTCCTTTCCCTCCCAGAGCCCTGAACAAGGGGTGGAACCAAAGCTTAATTATGATGGACAGGAGGCCTGCCCTATAACTGCAAACAGATAACAGAAAAGAAATAAAGTTGGAGCTCCTGGTACAGCCGTACCAGCACATGAGCCATATAGCTCTGATCAGCACAACTGAATAATGGCCTCATGTGAATTTTTTTCAAATTATTCCTCATCCCCTTTAGATTACACTATGTAACATGATGTTTGTTCCTGAGTTATAAATGTCATTTCCTAATTGGTTCTATCATTTTAAAAATGGGAAAAGTTTATTAAACTGCAAAACTTTGTTTTTGTGGGACATCCTGCAGCACATTTTGCTAAAACTTTTCAATTATTATGTTTTAGAGTCTGAACCAATTCAACATAGTTTGTGGCAGCCACAAAAATGAAGTTTCTGGAGTAGAACAACGACTTTCAAAGTAATTACTGCACAAGTAAACAGAAAATAACATTTTCAAATCAGGAACAAATTCTTTTTCAAATTTTGTTAACATAGTTGTTATGAGTCCCTGGTGGTGCAGTGGGTTAAACTGATGAGCTGCTGAACTTGCTGACCAAAAGGTCAGTGGTTCAAATCTAGGGAGCAGGGTGAACCTCTGTTGTTAGTCCCAGCTTCTGCCAACGTAGCAATTCAAAAACATGCAAATGTGAGTAGATCAATAGGTACTACTTCAGCGGGAAGGGGACAATACTCCATGCTGTCTTGCCAGCCACATGACCTTGGAGGCATCTAGGGACAACTCTGGCTTACAAATGGAGATGAGCACCATCCCCCAGAGTCAGAAACGACTAGACTCAATGTCAAGGAGAAACCTTTACCTTTAGTGTTATGAGATAATGTTATTTTTGTTCCCCTTTCTGGTGAAAACTCTCCTACTGTTCTATCTGAACTTAAATCTCAGTGGGTAGGCTTGGGAGTAGACCTCCCATCTGATACAGTCTTTGTGTGCCATGAAAATGTCTATTCTGATCCACACTCCTTTGGTGTTTTCGTTTATCTTGCAGGAGTCTGCAATTGAACTGATATTCGCCGCATTTTTCACCACTGCCAGTGCAAGCACTTCCATGATCCTCCTCCTGCTGCAACACCCTTTGGTCGTGGAAAAGATCCAGCAGGAGCTGGCGTCCCATGACCTCACCAAGCAATGTCATTGCTTCACAGCTGAGGAGTCTCTGGCAACTTCCCAGTCTGGCCAAGAGAATCTCCGTGACCATGAGAAAGAAAACAAAGACTGGGACTCCAAGCTTCCCCTTCATCACAGACTGGAAGGAGAAAAAGGCAAAGAGACAGAAGGGGAAGATCACTCGTTTTCTGCTGCTACAGTACCTCAGAAAACCACACATGGGACTACAAATTGCCTTCATTCAGCGCCCAGGCAAGAAGAAGTCAGTCAGCTCTATGGCAACCTGGAAGGGCCTGAATGCTATTGCCAACCCTACTTGACCTTGGAGAAGTTGAGTCGCCTGCGCTACCTGGACTGTGTCATCAAGGAGGTCCTGCGCTTGCTGCCCCCAGTGTCTGGAGGCTATCGGACAGCCCTACAAACCTTTGAGCTGAATGTGAGTTGATCTATTTGGGTCTCATGGTGGACAAGGGTAGAATCTATATGGTTAGTCTGATCAATTTTATGGAATCCATGGATAGTATGTGCATAGATGAAGTAATCTAGGGGTTTGGCATGGTTCTGGCATGCAGGAAAATCCTCATTCTCTTATGAGGGGGAGAAAAATCAGAATTAGTTATCAGAATTAATACTGATCTGCATAGAAAGACTGTGGAGGAGATCTCAAGAGTATGTGGCACCATCAGAAGATACATCACTAAAGAATCCCCAAGGCACTTGTGAGAGGCAGGTCAGGAAATTTGTGTGTTTTTTTAAATTTATGTGTCAAAAAGAATGGGTTATGGATATGTTAACACTAATGCTGTGTACTAGGAAAATATTAGACAGGTCAATGAACAGGAGTGCTCACTAGTAGATGATTGTTGCGAGTTTGTGATAATAGTGATAGTTGTGGCTGGTGTCATTGAGGCTGGATCTACACTGCCTTATATCCCAGGAGCTGATCCCAGATTATCTGTCAACTCATATAATCCAGTTCAAAGCACATAATCTGGGATCAGGTCCTGTGATGTAGAACAGTGTAGATCCAACCTTAGTTGATGGGTCCGTCCTATTCCAAAACAAGTTTGGATTTAAAAAATCTACTCTGAAGTTCAAAGTTAATGGTGTGGAGATAGCAAACATATGAAAGCATTAATTTTTGATATGAAGGTAGGACTCAGATTTATTAAAGAGTAATATGTTGACTCTGAGGAACCCCCTCCATTCAAAACAATTTCTCACCACTTTGACTGCTATGGCTCAATGTTATGGAATTCTGGGAGTTCTAGTTGGTGAGGCACCAGCACATTTTGGCAGAAAAGGCCGAAGACCTTGTCAAACTAGAACTCCTATGAATCATAGAATCATAGAGTTGGAAGAGACCTCATGGGCCCTCCAGTTCAACCCCCTGCCAAGAAGCAGGAAAATAATATCCAAAGCACCCTTGACAGATGGCCATCCAGCTTCTGCTTAAAAGCCTCCAAAAAGAAGCCTCCACCCCATTCCATAACATTGAACCATGGCAGTTGTAAGTTGTGGCAAACAGCATTAATTCTGCAGCATTGATGCACATCATTAAGTTCAGTGAACTATTATATGCAGGTACTTATGCAATGAATTTTAACCTAACTGAATTGAAGCTCAGATGAAGTGGGTAAGATGTGAAATTTAACAGAAATTATGCAGTATTTGCATGCTCGTGGTTTTACTGAACTATTATCACATTCTGGTAGGACCGTGGTGGTGTAGCGGGTTAAACCGCTGAGCTATGGACCTTGCTGACTGAAAGGCCAGCAGTTCAAATCTGCAGATGGGGTTATTTATTTATCGTGTCAGGAGCAAACCAAACAGCTGTAGTGCATTTTTTAACAAACAAGTAAACAAACATACAAAACACAAAGTTTGCAAGCTTGGTGGTTGATTAAATGTCCTTTGACCAGTAGCTGACCACTTGGAGTGCCTCTGGTGTTGCCACAAGAAAGTCCTCCATTGTGCATGTAGCAGGGCTCAGGTTGCATTGCAGCAGGTGGTCTGTGGTTTGCTCTTCTCCACACTCGCATGTTGAGGATTCCACTTTGTAGCCCCATTTCTTAAGGTTGGCTCTGCATCTCATGGTGCCAGAGTGCGGTCTGTTCAGTGCCTTCCAAGTCGCCCAGTTTTCTGTATGCCCAGGGGGGAGTCTCTCATTTGGTATCAGCCATTGATTGAGGTTCTGGGTTTGAGCCTGCCATTTTTGGACTCTCACTTGCTGAGGTGTTCCAGCGAGTGTCTCTGTAGATCTTAGAAAACTATTTCTTGATTTAAGTCATTGGCATGCTGGCTGATACCCAAACAGAAGATGGGCCGGAGATGTCACTGCCTTGGTCCTTTCACTATTGGTTGCTACTTCCCAGCGGATGTCAGGTGGTGAAATACCAACTAAACAGTGTAATTTCTCCAGTAGTGTAGGGCGCAGACACCCCGTGATAATGCGGCATGTCTCATTAAGAGCCACATCTACTGTTTTAGCGTGGTGAGATGTGTTCCACACTGGGTATGCATACTCAGCAGCAGAGTAACATAACACAAGGGCAGATGTCTTCACTATGTCTGGTTGTGATCCCCAGGTTGTGCCAGTCAGCTTTTGTATGATATTGTTTCTAGCGCCCACTTTTTGCTTGATGCAGATGGGGGTGAGCTCCTGTTTTTAGCCCCTGCTTCTGCCAACCTAACAGTTTGAAAACATGCAAATGTGAGTAGATCAATAGGTACTGCTTTGGTGGGAATGTAATGGCATGTCATGCGGTCATGCCGGCCACATGACCTTGGAGTTGTCTATGGACAACGCTGTCTCTTTGGCTTAGAAATAGAGATGAGCACCACCACCCCAGAGCTGGATTTGACTAGACATAATTTCAGGGGAAACCTTTTCCTTTACCTTTTTATCACATTCTGTTCCTTTTTAAACACCCTCACCTCTTGGTTTTGTGCAACTCAAAATAGGGATTGCAGTTTATAAGATCTTTTACCTAGTAGGAGTTTCAGTATAATGTTGCAGGAGGAGGGGAACATTTTGTTGCTGTGGTTGTTAAACAGTTGGGAGCCAGAAATCCTCTCTGAGTACAGATCAAATAGAGATCTACCAGTTGATCTACATCTAATGTTTGCTTGTCTCTGCTCTAAAGTACTTTTTGTGTAGCTATGGCTATCGGAATGACAGAATAGTACATTGTTGACTTCATTATAAAAGGTAAATAAAGGTAAAGGTTTTCCCCTGACATTAAGTCCAGTTGTGTCTGACTCTGGGGGTTGGTGCTCATCTCCATTTCTAAGCTGAAGAACCAGCATTGTCCATAGACACCTCCAAGGTCATGTGGTTGGTATAACTGCATGGAATGCTGTTACTTTCCTGCCAGAGTAGTACCTATTGATCTACTCACATTTGCATGTTTTCGAACTGCTAGGTTGGCACTTACTTACTTACTTACTTACTTACTTAGGAGATCCCTCGTAGTCCGAGGATGATGGTCCTCCAAGTTCGGTGTCCTGGCGGTGGGTTCGTAGGTGACTGTGGAGCCCTATTCTTGACCTGCTTCTTCTTCGGCAGTGAGGGCATTGTTTTCCAGGTGGATGGCAGTCTCAGACGGGGTTGGCTTGATGCGCCTTCCTCTTGACACATTTCTCTCTTTCACCCACCATTCGTACCTCTTCAAATTCTGCAGCACTGCTAGTCACAGCTGATCTCCAGCTAGAGCACTCAAGGGCCAGGGCTCCCCAGTTCTCAGTGTCTATCCCAGAGTTTTTAAGGTTGGCTTTGAGCCCATCTTTAAATCTCTTTTCCTGTCCACCAACATTCTGTTTTCTGTTCTTGATTTCGGAGTAGAGCAACTGCTTGGGAGATGGTGGTCGGGCGGATGACCATTGCTTCGATGCTGGTGGTCTTTGCTTCTTCCAGCATGCTGACATTTGTTTGCCTGTCTTCCCAAGAGATTTGCAGGATTTTCCAGCGCTGATGGAATCGTTCCAGGAGTTGCATATGACGTCTGTAGACAGTCCACATGTCGCAGGCATATAGCAGGGTTGGGAGGACAATAGCTTTATAGACAAGCACCTTGGTATCCCTACGGATGTCTCGGTCCTTAAACACTCTCTGCTTCATTTGGAAAAATGCTGCACTCGCAGAGCTCAGGCGGTGTTGTATTTCGGTGTTGATGTTGACTTTGGTGGAGAGGTGGCTACCAAGGTAGCGGAAATGATCAGCATTTTCTAATGTTACACCATTAAGCTGTATCGCTGGCATTAGAGAGGGGTTGGCTGGTGTCTGCTGGAACAGCACTTTGGTTTTCTTGATGTTCAATGACAGGCCAAGCTTCTCGTATGCTTCTGCGAAGGTGTTTAGAGTGGCTTGTAGATCTTCTGAATGCGCACAGACAATGTTGTCATCAGCATACTGGAGTTCTATAACAGATGTTGTTGTTGGCACAAGCTGGGGCTAACAGCAGGAGCTCATGCCGCCACCCGCATTTGAACCTGCAACCTTTTGGTCAGCAAGTTCAGCAGCTCAGCACTTTAACCCAGTGCACCACCGGAGGCTCCTGACTTCATTATATGTGCCCTGAAACTGTCATTCTCCCATAACCAAAGCTCTGAAATTTCTACATCATCCATTATCATTATTTAGAAAAGTCTTTCAGAAAGACCAGTTCGGGTTCCCCCCTGCAAAGAAATTTCATCTGTTCTAGACAATCCAGAATTTTTTTGTTTCCTCCTTGCTTTGATTTAGCAGGTTGCCCTCTGCAGGCTGCTGTCTCTGGTGCTGATTCTGTATTGTTTCCCTTCTTTCTCTTTCTTCTAGGGCTATCAGATCCCCAAGGGTTGGAGCGTGATGTACAGCATCCGGGATACACATGAGACTGCCAACATTTACCAGAGTCCCCCAGACACCTTTGATCCAGAGAGATTTGGGGTGTCGCAAGAGGAGCGCGAGGAGCACAAAGGAGCTGGCGCCCTCCGCTTTCACTACATTCCCTTTGGTGGCGGAGTCCGACACTGCATTGGCAAAGAATTGGCCCAGGCTATCCTCAAAATGCTTGCTATCGAACTGGTCAACACCACTCGCTGGGAATTGGCCACAGCTCATTTCCCTAAGATGCAAACGGTGCCGATCGTACACCCCGTGGATGGCCTGCAGCTGCATTTTCATCCTTTGAAACCGGGAAGAAAAAGCAAGCCAAACACTTGAGAAGCACCAGTATCTCCACCACAACTTCTAGCTTAGGATCATAATAGATCTGGGGCAAAATACCAATCCTTTCCAGCTGTAGCTTTTCCGCCTGCACAAAATCCTTCCTTCCTAACAATCGGTTCGGGAAATATGCAAGTGGAGAAAGAGAGTGACGTCTCTATCCTTGATCCGTAATGCTCTGTCAGTCTGTTAGCATCCATTTTTGTTCAGAAATATGCATCCACAGTAATAACATCCTCTATGGTTCGTAGTTGCACTTTCTTGTGGGTGTATGTGGCTGTGTATGTGATGTTACTGGTTAGGAGAAGAGATGTTACAAAGGCGAATGTCTCGGAAGGAACAACGGCAAGAGGGAGAAACTCAGTATCTATAGGTCAAATGCAAGGTAGAGTAGGAATTCTTCCAATATGCAGATTTTTGAGAGTCGTCTTTAAGTTATAGATATAACTGATGAATATCCTCAGAGGTTCTCACAGCTATGAACAAGACTGTTCCTGCATCACAAGGCAACAGTCATTGGAAGGAGCATTGATAGACCAGTTGCTGACTGAATGGATGATCTACGAGGGTTGAATGAAAAGTAATGCCTCCACCTTCGTTACTTGGGTTTGGATGGGAATATTTTAATAAATCAAATGCAGAAATAATCTTTAGAATGTGCTCTTTAACTACCACTATTCACTTTTCAACATAATCACCAGACAATTGGATACATTTCTGCCAACGATGAACAAGTTTTCTGAAGCAGTCAGGGAAGAAGTCGACACTATGTTTCCGCAACCCATCGTGCACAGATCTTCCAATAGCCAAGCAAAGCAATAATATGACCCACACATTCTTGTGAAATGCTGATTATGCTTGAAATTTCTCTGAGTGAAACGACAATTGTCCTTTTTTTGTTCTGTCAGGAGCGACTTGAGAAACTGCAAGTCGCTTCTGGTGTGAGAGAATTGGCTGTCTGCAAGAACATTGCCCAGGGGACGCTTGGATGTTTTTGATGTTTTTACCATCCTTGTGGGAGGCTTCTCTCATGTCCCCGCATGAGGAGCTGGAGCTGATAGAGGGAGCTCATCCGCCTCTCCCGATTCGAACCTGCGACCTGTCGGTCTTCAGTCCCTGCCGCACAGGGTTTAACCCACTGCGCCACCGGGGCCATACTGTTAGGGTAAGTCAACCTTTTGCTTGTGGATCTCAGGAGTTGCTGTCACAGGACGCCCAACTCTTTGTTTGTCACGCAAGTCAGATATTCCCACCTCAACATCTTTAAACTTACTCGCCCAATGATGCACAGTACTCACATCAACACAATCATCATAAACAGCTTGCATTCTCTGATGAATCTCCTTCTGCTGTCAAGAATTCAATGACTACACATTGCTTAAGTCACATTGACTGACTGTGCAGGGTTCCATATTTTTCACTTTAACAACACAACTGTTCAATGCTAAGGCTTCCCGCCAAAATGGAACTGTAGACTAACTGCTGCATACCATTACTGCCATCTGTTGAGGAGTTACGAAGGTAGAGGCACTACTTTTCATTCAACCCTCGTAAAAATACAAGAGGAGTTGTAAGAGAAGAGAATTATGCCCATCTTTAGGTGAGGACAACCGAAAAGGAGCATGGCATACAGATCGGAAATGGACATGGACTCAAGAGTTTACTTTGGCCTAAAGCTCCATCTATATAACATCTGAAAGATCAGTGTGTGGATTGAAGATCCTTGCCAGTAATAAAGTAAATTCATGAACGTATCCTGACGAATCTTAATGAAACCCATTTTCAGTGCTGGTATTCTAAAAAACTATTATAAAGCTATTGTCCTCCCAACTCTACTATACGCCTGCAAGATGTGGACAGTCTACAGACGTCACATGCAACTCCAGGAACGATTCCATCAGTGCTGCCTCCGGAAAATCCTGCAAATCTCTTGGGAAGACAAGCGAGCAATGTCAGCGTGCTGGAAGAAGCAAATACCACCAGCATTGAAGCGATGGTCCTCCGCCATCAACTCCGCTGGACCGGCCATGTTGTCCGGATGCCTGACCACCGTCTCCAGTTGCTCTACTCTGAACTCAGGAATGGAAAACGGAATGTTGGTTGACAGGAAAAGAGATTTAAAGATGGGCTCAAAGCCAACCTTAAAAACTCTGGCATAGACACCGAGAACTGGGAAGTTTTGGCTCTTGAGCGTTCTAGCTGGAGGTCAACTGTGACCAACAGTGCTGCAGAATTTGAAGAGGCACAAATGGAGGGCAAAAGGAAGAAAAGTGCCAACAGGAAGGCACATCAATCCAACCCTGATTGGGACTGCCTTCCACCTGGAAACCGATGTCCTCACTGTGGAAGAACATGCAGATCAAGAATAGGGCTCCACAGTCACCTACGGAACCACCACCAAAACCTTGGAGGACCATCATCCTCAGACTATGAGGGATTGCCTAAGTCAAAGTCTATAAAAGTATCTTATTTAAAGATGTTCTCCTACATTGTCACAATTCCCTCGCCACTGGCTTTGTTGAGCGTGGCTGATGGGTTTTGTTTGATGAAACATCTAGAGCAGTGTGTTGTTGAAGGCTTTCATGGCCAGAATCACTGGGTTGCTGTGAGTTTTCCAGGCTGTATGGCCATGGTCAGGAAGCATTCTCTCCTGATGTTTCATCACCCACATCTATGGCAGACATCCTCAGAGATTGTGAGGTTTGTTGGAGACTAACAAGCCTCACAAACTAGTTTCCAACAAATCCCTGCCATAGATGTGGGTGAAATGTCAGGAGCGAATGCTTTTGGAACATGGCCATACAGCCCGGAAAACTCACAGCAAACCAATCTAGAGCAGTGTTCCTCAAACTCTTCTCCTCCAAGCGTTTTGGACTTCAGCTCCCAGAAATCCCAGCCAGATTACCAGTTGTTTGGAATTGTGGGAGATGGAAGTCCAAAATCTGAAGGAGCAGAGTTTGAGAAACACTGATCTAGAGGGTCCAAGGTTTCTGAATGTTCCTGTAGTAGCTGCTGGAGCGTGAACGTTGTCGCAGGCTGGTCCTTGGGTTTTAATGAAGGAAAGATAAAGTTATTGCAAAAGTAGAGCAGTGTATGCAGATAATATCTCTCTAATCTGGATCCTATGGACTACTCTCTTAGAAACAAACAAGTATGTTTAGTGGCCAAGGCTGGACAGCTTTCCTTTCTGCCAACTTTGTAGTAGAAAACATTTACTCTGACACTAAGCTGCAAATTAAAGCTCCTAATAGTTTTTTGCCTTGTCTGGTTGTCCAAGGAATGGGCATATAGGATTATCAGAGGGCAAGAAAGACTGGTTATGTGTTTAGCAATTCAGGAAAGTGGCATTTTTAAGAAGACCAATGCAAGAGATACTTCTACTGTTGTCTGCTCAGTTAGTGTGGCATCCCAGCATCTCAGAGATAGTTTTGACTTTTGTGTAATTCTTTCTGAGATAGTGAATCCATTCCTGGACTGTATCATTCAGCCTTTCCTAGTTGGATATACCCTCAAAATGTGTTGGTCAGCTATTATCCTCAAACAAGAGAGCCAGAAGCTGTGCTGGCTACATATTGTAGGGTTGTAGGCCAACGTATCTAGAGCAGCATTTCTCAACCTGGGGGTTGAAAGGTGGTTTCAGAGGGGTCACCAAAGACCACCAGAAAACATACATTTCTGAGGAACCCCTTTGGCAGAGAAGGTTGAAGATTTCACCAGTGTTTACATTTGGGCATATAGAGTATTCGTGCCAAGTTTGGTCCAGTTCTATCATTGTTTGAGTCCACAATGCTCTTTGGATGTAGGTGAACTACAACTCCAAAACTTAAAGTCAAAGCCCATCAAACCCTTCCAGTATTTTCTGTTGGTCATGGGAGTCCTGTATGCCAAGTTTGGTTCAATTCCATCATTGGTAGAGTTCAGAATGCTCTTCAAATGTAGATGAACTACACATCCCAGCAACTACAACTCCCAAATGTCAAGGTCTATTTTCCCCAAATTTCACCAGTGTTCCCATTTGGGCATGTTGAGTATTCGCGCCAAGTTTGGTCCAGTTATATCATTGTTTGAGTCCACAGTGCTCTTTGGATGTAGGTGAACTACGACTCCAAAACTCAAAGTCAAAGCCCATCAAACCCTTCCAGTATTTTCTGTTGGTCATGGGAGTCCTGTATGCCAAGTTTGGTTCAATTCCATCATTGGTAGAGTTAAGAATGCTCTTCAAATGTAGATGAACTACACATCCCAGCAACTACAACTCCCAAATGACAAAATCAATCCTCCCCAACTCCACCAGTATTCAAATTTAGGTGTACTGGGTATTTGTGCCAAATTTAGTGCAGTGAATGAAAATACATCCTGCATCTCAGATACTTACATTACGATTCATATCAGTAGCAAAATAACAGTTATGAAGTAGCAACAAAAATAATTTTGTGGTTGGGGGTCATCACAACATGAGGAATTGTATTAAGGGGTTGCGGCATTAGGGAGGTTGAGAAACACTGATCTAGAGTGTGGGAGTTTGAGGAAAGCTTCCTTAGACTGTGGTACTTCAAAGATACCCTTGCAATTTTGGTCCATTTTTAGGATTATCCACTTAATCTCATCATTGTTAGCCTAGATCCATCAGGTATTGTGTAGTGGTGTTGTATGTTTTAAATGTATTGTGATGGCTACCATGCTGCTATGGTCAATGATGTAGTAATATATGTCCAACAAAATGCTGCTGTAGAGAACTGAGTTCTGAATGAAATTCTGTACAAGATTTCAGCAAGTTCAAGAACTTCCAGGAATAAATGTTGCCAGATAGCAGTCCTGCCTTGTCTTTATATTTGTATAATGTTCGCCAGATGTATAAATGAACGATGGGGAAGCTTTGTCCTCTTGCCTACGGAGATATTCCACTGTGGATACAGCTGATGGTGGTTGGAATCAGAGCTAAAAATAGATGGAGTTTGTAGCATTGGAGGATGACTTTGCCCCTCAACACACACACACACAAACATACATGAAAGGAGGCAGCAAGTTCCCCACTCCAGAATGGTTAAGCACTTAGAAAATCACTCTGTTTTCCTATTTAGAATCATTGTATCATGAAAGTAACATTTGGAAAGTCCATTTAAGTGAACACAATAAGGTAAAGATAAAGGTTTCCCCTTGACATTAAGTCTAGTCAAGTCCAACTCTGGGGGTTGGTGGTCATCTCCATTTCTAAACCGAAGAGCCAGCGTTGTCCGTAGACACCTCCAAGGTCATGTGGACAGCATGACTGTATGGAGCACTGTTACCTTCCCACGGAAGCAGTACCTATTGATCTACTCACAATTGCATATTTTCAAACTGCTAGGTTGGTAGAAGCTGGAGCTAACAATGGGAGCTCAACCTGTCCCGTGGATTCAAACCTCCAACCTTCCAGTCAGCAAGTTCTGCAGCTTAGTGGTTTAACCCGCTGCACCACCATGGCCCCTATTTATTTATTTATTTATTTATTTGGAGTGCTTCTACCCCGCCCTTCTCAACCCCCTAGGGGACTCAGGGCGGCTTACAAAAGGCACAATTCGATGCCCAACAGTTCACAAAATACAATATACAAAATACAATATAACGACAACAGTTATAACTAGTTAAAACAATCAAATTAATACAATAGCAGCAATAAAATCATCTTGTGGTCAACGTTCACCAATTCATAAATCCATAATCCATCCAGCATTGTCATTGTCCTTTCCTACTCTGGTCGTCATTGTCTTTTATCCATCTGCCAGCTTACCCAAAGGCCTGGTCCCATATCCAGGTTTTTAACTTCCTTCTGAAAGAGAGGAGGGATGTTGATGACCTAATTTCCCCAGGGAGTGAATTCCACATGTGAGGGGCCACCACCGAGAAGGCCCTGTCCCTTGTCCCCACCAGTCTCACTTGTGATAAAGGTGGGGCCGAGAGCAGGGCCTCCCCCGAAGATCTTAAACTCCGAGTGGGATGTAGAAGGAGATACGTTCGGACAGGTACGCTGGGCCGGAGCCGTATAGGGTTTTGTAGGTCAAAACCAGCACTTTGAATTTTGCTTGG